CCTTCCTCCCCAGCCCTCCTCTCTCTCCAATGGTGGCTGCGGAGCCGGCTTGGACACCCAGGCTCTTTTGCAAACACAGGCACACACCCCTTTCCGAAAAAAAAAAATATATATATATTAAAAAAAAGAATAGCTGGAGAGAGGTGTAGAAGTGCTGTGGCAACCGCAGCCTAATGCACGGGGGAGGGATAATAAAAATAATAAATAGAAAAATGAAGCGATAATAAAAATCCCTTTCTATCCTTTTTCTCTTTCTTTCCTATTTTTTTTTTTAGCTTTGCAGAGAGAGTGGCCGCTCGCTCCTCCTTTCTCCAGCCCACCCACCTCCGGGAGAGGGGAGAAGGCGGAGGAGCGCAGGTTGCCTCTGGACGGGGGTCCCCCAAGGCGCTTTTCGTCGTCCTAAACTTTGCAGGGGCTGGGGAAGGGGCTGGGGACGGGCGGGGAGCGGGGCCGCCTCCCGGGGCTGCCGGCGCCGCTCTCCCCCGGCTGCAACTCCGGCTGCTGGATTCCTCCTCCTGCGGTGCCTTCCCTCGCTCCTACTCACTACTGACACCTAGGAGCTCCAGCCTGATTGGGCTAATTGGGAAACGTCTCTGCCCTCCCCGAAAAACAGGAAAAAAAATTTGAAAAAAAGGAATAAAACCCAAAACGCACTCACGGAATCAAGCGCATCTCGCTGCCTGCCCCCATCTGCTCCTCAAAAAAAAAAAAAACCTTTCCCGGCTTTGCTTGGCATCTCCTTTCCCTTTTCCGTGCCTTCCCTTCCCTCTCTGGGGCTCTCCCCCGGCTCGGAGGCAGCGAGGAGGGGAGCGGGGCGTGGGGAGGATTGAGGAAGATCAATCCCCCAGCTGGGGTGAGCAATAATCCCGGAGAGCGGCTGCGAGCTGCTCCCCTGGCCCGGGCTGCCTTCCACTCCCGCCAGCCGCAGGAATAAAGGGATTTTTCAGAAGCTGTTGGTGCTTCCTACCTGAGTTTGGTGTCCCCCAGCGCCCACCCCAAAAGTTCATTCCGTGTGTGAGAGCCGCGCTCCTCCCCGCAGGTGATGCCAGAGCCGGCAGCAGGTGTGGGAAGGGCAGGGATGCTCTCAGGGTGGTGATAGCAACAGGGCTGCTCCCCAGCGAGCCCCGATTCCCCGAGGATGGGCGCCTCACAAAGGTCTGAAAAGAGGAGAGAAGCAGCTGGGGGAGATCTCCTCTGCTTCCAGGGGGGCTGGCCACGCTCAGGCCAAGGAGAAAACTCTGCAAGTGGCCCTGCAGCTTCCCCTTGCCCAGCAGAAAGCACAGACATCCGGCAGGGATGCAGGGGGGTGCTGGGGAAGGGGTGCCAGCAGCCGAGATCAGAGGCAGGAATCTCCTCTCCAGGGGTTGTGCAGCACCAAGCACAGCAGGACTCCCCCTCCTCCCCACAGCCATTGACAGAAAATCAGCCTTAATCCCAGCTTAGTATTTTTAATTATCTTAAATTTATGCCACAAAGCACGGGGGCCGGGGGCTGTCTATTTGCATCCTCCAAGATATTTATTTAGAAACAATATCATGTTTTCCTAAAAACAAGTTTTATCTCCCCGGCGCGCGCCTGTGTGTGTGTGTGTGTGTGTGTGTGTTTTGCCTGAGCTCCCGTTTACATTTCCTGATGGATGGATGGATGGATGGGGGATTCACAGCCCTTTTTTTTTCTTTTTTTTTTTGAGGTGGTGCATAAAATGTATTTATTATTCTTTATCTCCTACCTCTCGCAAGGAGTCATTTGTTTTCATTCAGAGAAATGAATGCGATGCGAAGCCTGAAGAGTAATAACGCAGTGAAATGACAACGGAGAAGCCAGACAGGAATCTGAGAGATACAATGGCAGGTTAGTAACCTCTAAAGATCACTGCTGCTCTGAGTGCTACAGCATTATTGAGTGTCCAGCCTGGCTCACAGCTCCATTTAATAAAAACATATGAAAATCTCAAAGAAATTCATTCTCGTGTTTAAAACCTGTTCCCTAAACACGGATAATCTGGATATGCTCAGATTACTTCCCACGAGCTGGTGGGGAGGAAGAAATTAATACCAGCTCTTTCTGCTTCTTAAGACAATGGCAGGAGTCAATAGATGCCTGTGCTGTTTGGGTTCATGAAGGAGTGAGTGACAAATGAGACTTTATTTATAGGCCTGCTCATGAACCGGGCAGCGGGGGCGGGAAAGGGTTGGGGCTGCAAAACCCAAATGACCTCCCCTGACCTGGGAATTTCTGCAGCAAAAGGGCCCAAGGACAAGGAGGGTTCAGGCTCACTCTGGTGGATATTTTCCTCCCCAAGTCACAGCAGAGATCACAGAGAGGGCACCCAATGCTCTGCTCCAGGGGGAAAATCAAGCAGCACCAAAGCTGTCTCAGCATCATCTGGATGAGGGAAAATCCTGTTTTCTCCATCCAAACAACCTCACACATCTGATTTCCCTCCTGCTGCCCCAAAAGATCCCCCATTGCCCCTGAAGTCCTGAGTGCCAACAGCCTCCCTGAATCCCTCTGTGGTTCATCCAGATGTACTCACTCCCTCCTTTCTTTCATTTCTTGCATTATTACCTGAGCCACACACAGCGGGACATAGGAATCACTTCCATCAACACCCAAAGAACAGAAAAAAACCATTTTTGCCAGGACATCCACCTGTACACTTCAAGGCTCCAACAACTGAGGATGAGCCAATCAGGGGAAAGAAAAAGAAAAAAAATTAAAAAAAAATAAGAAAAAAGGGAGAGAGACGGAAAATTTAAGTCAGATTGAGCGGGGATTTTTCCGTGATTCTTTTCCCCCGCCATTTTACAAGTTTGTTAAAGCAGCGCGGTGTTTAAGTGGCTGGAATCCAGCGCTGGTGGTTCCAGCTCGGGCTGCAGCGAGCGCAGCGCTCAAACCCAACATCGCAGCGCCACCTGCAGCGGCCGCGCTTGGTGGCACCTCCAAAACGCCCCAAACCGGCCCAACCCTGCACAAAACAGCCCGGGGACACGGCTGCCAACTCCTCCCTCCAGGTCTCTTTGTCACCCCCTCCTGCCCTCCGGCCTCTCAGGTCCTTCCAACGTGCCCCTCTCTGGTGATACACAGAATAAAATTGGGCTCTCCTGGGTAGCTGTCACCATCCCTGCTGCTGACAAAGGATGTCTTTATCGTGCTTGGGGAGGGTGGGAAATGCTGGGCAAGCTGGTTTAAAGCTGGGCCAGGGCTCTGGGTGAGCTCAGGGTGAGCTCTCCCCCTAAGTGACACCTTTAGGGGTGTCACTCTCTCCTTTTTTGCCAGCTTCAGGAAAGGTTGTGCTGGCAGAAAATGGGATGAGAGTGCGGTCCCCAAAAAAATGTAAGAGAAGTTTGTAAGGAAGAGCAGGATTGTGTCACTTGGTCACCTCGCCTTCCCCTTCTTTTGCAGCATTGTACAAACAATTTTGGGTGATGGGTGGAGAAAAAGCTCTTTGGAGGATCTATCTCAACCACTCTCTGCTTGTGTTTGTACAGCATTTCCTTGGAGTCTTGGGGGATTTTTTGGGAAGCTCAGGGTGTCCTGGCATGGAGCAGAGGGGTTACACTTGCCCTTTCTCCTCTGTCACTGATTTGCTGCACAGTCTCTGGCACCTCCCTTAACTCCCCTGCCAGTCATTGCAGGGATGTTTTTGGGGCAGATTTTTCAGTAGGATATTTATAAATAAAATTTTTATCAGTTATTCAGCATCTCCCTCTTATTTTTTGGGACAGATTTTTCAATAGGATATTTATAAACAACATTTTTATCCGTTAATCCAGCATCTCCCTCTTCCCAGCCCTTCAGCGGGCACAATGAACTGTCAAACAGAGGTGGGGTGTGCTTTCATTTTTATTTTTTTTTTTACCACTTATTTGGGTGTTTTTGAGGGAAGCAAAATCTCCTTTTATGTTGTCCCAGAGGCAAACCCAGCAATTCACAGGAGCCACAGACCTGCAGGGTCTGACTGTCCCCTCCCTGTCCAGAGCTCCTTCCTATCACTGTGTGCTCCAGTCCATGTTAGCACTTGGAGTCAGACACCAGCTCACCAACTCCTCAAGTTTAACATTTCTGGAATTTCCAGCCCATTTTCCCTCTTTGTGCAATTTCATTGCTTTTTCTCCCTCCCCATCTCCTCTTCTTTGCCCCCTCTGCTCCAACTCCAATCTCCCCAGCAAAATGCCATTTCCACAGAGGACCTGCCCTTCCAAGCAGACCCAGGGATGAGAGAGATGCTCCTTCCCCATCCCCACCTACCCAGAGGGGATTTATGATGTCCTCAGGCCGACAGCATCATCTGCACATCTTCCCAATCCCATCCCTGCCCTCTCCGCTCAAACTCCCCCAGGGACAATTTTTCTCCTTCCCCCTTCAAATATTTGCCGACCATTATCGCCTCTGGTCACACCCAGGCTGTCATTTGGCCAAACAAAACAGCGGCAGGAGGGACAGGGGAGAGGGGCAGGTGGATGCAGACTGGGTGAGATGGGAGCCAGGGGAGCACTCAGCCCATCATGATAAGGGAACCACAAAACCCAGGCTGGGGCTGGCCAATTAAACCAGGGCATCTGAGAGGGGACAAGGAGTGAAAGGGAATAATATTGGAGCCAGGCAGGTGGAGTGATAAGATACACAACCACAGAAAGTCGGAGGAATTCATTGTTGTTTCATTTTGGAGGACAATACCAGGAGGAAGAGCAATGAATCCCTGCTCAGGAGGGCTGGAGAGCTTTGGGGCAAGATAAGGAGTGGGGATGGAGGGATGAGATGGAGAAATGGGTTAAGAGTCAGAGGAAAATAATCCAGAGATACCCAGGAGGAGCTGGAGAGTGTCTGGAGCGAGAGAGGGGAAGGCTGGATTCAGCTGAGGAGAAGCAGCCCTTAAATCAGAATAAATCAAAGCAATCAATCCCTGCTCAGGAGGGCTGGAGAGCTTTGGGGCAAGATAAGGAGTGAGGATGGAGGGATGAGATGGGGAAATGGGTAAAGAGTCAGAGGAAAACAGTCCAGAGACACCCAGGAGGAGCTGGAGAGTGTCTGGAAAGAGACAGGGGAAGGAAGAGTGGGGATGGAGGGATGAGATGGAGAAATAGGCAAAGAGTAAGAGGAAAACAGTCCAGAGACACCCAGGAGGAGCTGGAGAGTGTCTGGAAGGAGAGAGGGGAAGGATGGATTCATCTGAGGAGAAGCAGCCCTTAAATCAGAATAAACCCAAAGGGAAATAGGACAGCCTGAAGAGGGGAAGGGTCTCATCCACAAATTAGGGCTTTGATTTGGAATTTCAGAACCTGGTGCAGCTCCAGTGGGTTCCAGGAGAGAGATGAGGAGCCAGGATAGAGCTGCAGGGATTTTTCACAGAATCTGCATTGGTAACACTCTAGAAAGGTCCTTTTGGGAAGTTTGCCTCCCTCAGATAGTG